AAAAAAAAAAAAAAAAAAAAAAAAAAAAAAAAAAAAAAAAAAAAAAAAAAAAAAAAAAAAAAAAAAAAAAAAAGAACCAGCTGGGAAAACCGCTCCAAACGTTCCAAGGAGGTGTCCCAGCTTTCCTGCCAAGGCTGGAGCGCTCTAGCCGGGGATGCTGCCTGCCCTCCTCCTCCCTCCCAGCAGCCCTGTTTCCGGCACATGGCCGGCTCCTTCCCCGGCCGCAGAGCCCTCCTGCCCGCGGAGCGCTGCTGCCGCACCCGGGCCTTCTCCGCACCCGGGCCGGACCCGGCGGGGGCAGCGCGGCTGGGACGGCAGGGCCGGCGGAGGCAGCAGGTAGGGCAGGCGGCGGGAAGCGGCGGGCAGGAGGCGCCCATGCGTTTGCAGAAACGCCTTCTCTGGCTGCCTGACCTTCAGGGAGCAGAACGCGGGAGCTGAGGACACGGCAAGGGAGCCGCTCGGGGCCAGCCGTCCTCACCCAGGCTCCTTGTTTTGGGTTCAGAAGGCTCTTTTTGCCTCTGACAGGGAGAGCTGGACGGGCACCCGCTTCAGAGCCGGCCGGCATGGCAGATCCCGGCCTCCATCCCCGGCGGCTGCGAGGAGCTGGGCACTCACCTTGAGCAGGTAGCTCCGTGTCTCTGTTCCGCTTTGTCACTCTGTGCAGGACATCTGCACGTCCCTCTGCCGAGGGCCGGGACCCCCGGCCCCTCCACCCCGCACCCCCCGGCCCAGCACCGTCCCGTACCTCTGTGCTCCGGCTGGACCAGTCGCACCTTGGGAGCTGGCTCTGCGCAGAGAGGAGGGAGGCAGGCAGAGGAGGGGGGAAACTTGGGAGTTTCCCACAATGCACCTCTGCAGACTGCATGAAGATGGAGAGCAGGGAGGGGGGGAGAGGGCGCTCCAATCCGGAGGGAAGGGCTGGGATCTGGGGAGGGGGGGCAGGATGCCAAGGGGGGGCCGCAGGGTGGTTAAGGCAGCCCAGCTGCATCTCCGTATCCCCTGTCGTTTGGGGCTGAGCTGGCTCAGCAGTTCAGGGCTGTCCCTGCAGTGTTGACCCCTCTGCCTGCTCCGCTTGTTTCTCCTCCAGATCCTGCCTGGGTTTGCAGCAATTACAGGGAACAGGGCAACAAAGTGGGGGGGACATACTGGGGAGGAAAAATGGGAGGGGGCCAGCCTGATAAGTTGGGATGCCTGTGTGTAGACCACAGGAAAAAGGCCAGGATAAGGGATTTCCAAGTGAGATGATCCCCGTCAGGGAATTCAGGAATGGCAAACTGTACTGCTAAGGAGAAGCTCTGCTTAGTGGAGGGAGGACACTGAAATGCTGCACCTTGGGGTAGTTTTGTGCCAGCTCTGCTTCCCTTCTCCTCAGACTCCCCCTTGCCCCAGTGTGCTGGAGTCTGCTCCCCCTTTCCAAACTCTCCCAAGGTCTGGGAGAGGCTGCAGGCAGCCCAAGGCCAGACTGGAGCCGGGCACACAGCCCGGTCCCGCTGCGGAGCACTGTCATGCAGCCAGGCACTGCCAGGCACAGCCTCCTCCTCCTTCTCATCCACACCAGCTAAAAGTAAAGAGCCCTCCCTGTTACAGCCTGACCCCTCCAGCCAGGCACAGGGCTCAAATACCCATCACTGGGTCACATCCTACTTTCATCCCAAACCACAGCAGATTCAGGGATTGTCTAGAGCTCTTTTTAGCCCTTATTTCAGAGCAAATCAGGCTGTGTGCTGCTTGCCCATCTTCATCAGTTGCTTGGGACCCACTGACAACCTTCATGTAATTTTGGACAAATAATTGATATTTTAAGGAGATTACACACAGAAATCCATGAGAAACAACTTTGTCAGCTCAGCTGCCTTCAGAATAACTCACTTCAGTTCTCACTGAGGTGCTCACTGAGTTTCCTCTCTCCCACGAAGGGCAGCCAAGCACCAGCTCAACCATGCACATACTCAGTGCAGAAGGGCTGAAACTCCGGAGAAAATTTGTACCTTGACCCTCTGTGGCTCTGCCAAACTGCCCACCAGTTGCATGGCAGGTACATGCCATGCCCAAAAATACTCAGGCTGCTTAGATCCCACTGTAAAGGAAAATTCTGCCCACCTTTGAAGTGAACTGCAGAACAAGGAGCTGGATGCAAGAACCCAAATCTCCTAGGAAAGGCTGTGCTTCCAGGGGCTGGTTTCAGATGCAGCTACCCATACTCCCATGGAGCAGGGATGAGCAAGGTTACCTGCTGTAGTCCTTGGCTCCAGGAGCCAGCTGAGCCCAGACAGGCTGGCACAGACAGGATTAGCTGTGGCTGATGCTGTTCCCTCTCTTCCCTGTCTGGTCCTGCACCCAGCAGTGCCAGTGCTCCCTGCTCTTTTAGGGACTTGTGCCAGGCACAGCCAGGACCTTTCCATGGCTGCAAACAGCTTCTTCCCCTTCCTAACACCTCCCAAATTTGCTGATCTACTGGCAGCTGCAGAGAGGGGCTGAATTCCTGCAAAGCCAGTGGAAATCCATGATTCACTGCAGGAGAGACCCCCAAACTGCTGCTTCCAGGACTATTAAAACATTTTTGCCACTTCTGTATCAGCCAGGAATATCCTCAGCGTGGCAGGAGGAGGGAGGGAGCCTCCTGCAAGTGGAAGTCACCGGCTCCGTTCCCCAGAGCCTGGATGAGCCGAGGTCAGGGGGTTCTGGCAGCGGTTTCCTTGTGTTCACACATGCTGCCTCTGCCTCAGGAGATGAACAGCCCCACGTGATGCTCTCAGAGGCCTCAGACTTGAGTTCACATTATATTTAAATGCTGAATTTAAAAAATGTGTTTTACTGAGGTAGGAAAAAGGGAAGCAAAGGAAATGAGCTGCAAAAACCTTTCCCCCTCCCCCTCCCCGTGGCAGAGAGGAGAAGGCAGGGAAGCAGCCCCAGAGCTGGGCAGTGCTCCAAAATCCCGTGGCACCAGGCACGGGAAGGACAGACCCCCCCCCAGAAAGTGGGTCACATCCCCCCTGAATGCGGCACAGGCACAGCGAGCAGCAATCCAGACTGAGACACAGCAAGGTAAAAATGGCTTTTTCAAGGTCAGAGGGAATGGGAAACCTTCAGAAATGGTGCTGCTGGATTTTCCTCCTCCCTCTCAGCTCACACCACATCCCAGGAGGAGTTAGAAGGGAAAAGGACAGCCCTGGCTCCTGGGCAGCCCCCCTACAAAACCCACTGGGGGATGTTGGTGGCAGCAGCTTCCTTGGGAAGGAACAGAGCATTGTGGAATTGTTCAGGTTGGAAAAGCCCTCTGAGATCATGCAGCCCAGCCATTCCCCCAGCGCTGCCAAGGCCACCACTAACCTGTATCCCCAAGTGCCACATCCACATGACTTTTAAATCCCTCCAGGGATAGGGATGTCATCACTGCCCTGGGCAGCTGTGCCAGGGCTGGACAGCCCTTTCCATGGAGAAATTTCCCCTAATATACAGTCTAAACTTACCCTGACACAACTTGAGACCATTTCCTTTAGAGAGAAACAGTTATTCCTAGAATTATTTGATGTACCTCTCCTAAAGGAGCCTCTCTCCTTTCCTAGAGCCCCAGTTACAACCCACCCACGGCTGGAGGAGGAGGAAAGGGCTACACAGCAGCAAAACCCAGTGGCTGTTTGGGCAGCAGCCATTTCTCCTTACCTTGGACTCCCAGGAAAGCAGGATGAAGGACATTTCTCACAGTGGGGTGACTTGCTGCAGCAACCAAGGTGGGTTTACCTGGCAGCAGAAAGTTCTTGCAGTGAAAATCCAAGCCCAGCTACCTGTGAGGAGCTATGAATAGCCTGGAATCCCTGAGCAGCCTCCCCACCTGCCACCATGGGCCTGGGTATTCCCAGTTGGAGCAGCGCTAGGGGACAGTGTCACCACCTCCGTCCTGGCAGCTCATCCTCGCACCGAATTACACGGGCTTGTAATTCCTTGATAAACACATTGTTTAAAATCATCGAATCACAGAATGGTTTGGGTTGGAAGTGACTTTAAAGCTCATCCAGTGCTCTCAGCACTTCCCAGCAGCCAGGCAGGCAGATCCTTTCCTGCTGGCATGGGGATTAGGGATATCTCTGCAGAGCTCCGTGCTTGGAGCCAAGGGCACACCCAGGAGCCCAGGCACAGTGCCTTTGTCCCCAGCAGCGCGAGGGCAAGGGGACAGAGGCTGCAGGTGGGCCCAGGCAGTTGCATTTGCTCCCAGGTGGATGGGGACAGTTGAAACAGGGGTTGATGGATCAGGATGTTGAGGGCACCCAGGAGAAGAACCCCTGCAACCCAAAACCTTCACAGTTTATGTCCTTATTTCCTCTGCCAGACTTAGGGAAGCCCTGAGTGTTGAAATGAGTGTCTGCTGGTGTGTCAGGAGTGCGGTTGGGCTGGTTGGGAATTTGTCTGGGCTTGGGACTGACTGTTCTCCTCATTGTCACAGAGTACAAGCGGAACTACAGAGAGCACATGGTCCGGGAGTTCCTCCGAGACGGAGAAGGGGACTCCAGCCCCAGGGAGAACCCATCCATCCGCAGCCACTACACCGCCCTGACCATCACCAGGGAGCCTTGGAGCAGGCAGGGAGCTGAGCATGGAGCTGTGGGATGTGCCAACACCAGCAATGGACCAGCCACCGTCACCGCACAGACGCTGTTCAGACCCGACGAGGATGGGCGAACACCGCGCGTCGTGGTGCTCGTGGGGGCCCCGGGGATGGGGAAGACGACAACAGTCAGGAAGGTGATGGTGGAGTGGGGAGAAGGGACCCTCCACGAGCAGTTCGACTGTGTCTTCTGCATTGACTGTAAAGGCATCGCCCTTCCCAAGGAAGCGAGTGTGGCAGACCTGGTTTCACAGTGCTGCCCTCACCAGCGAGTGCCGGCTGGGAGCATCCTGGATGACCAGAAGATCCTGTTCATCTTTGATGGCTTCGAGGCCTTGAGATTTTCCTCGGTTCAGCCTGAAGCTGAGCTGAGCTCTGACCCCAGGGAGGTGAAGCCGCTGGAAACCACCCTGATGAGCTTGTTGAAGAGGACTGTTCTCCCAGAGGCTTCTTTGCTCATCACCACGAGGCCAACGGCTCTTCAAAGCCTGGGGCGGTGCCTGGAGGGGGAGTATTACGCAGAGATACTGGGATTTTCAGGAGCCATGAGGGAGGAATATTTCCACAGATATTTTGAGAATGCCAACAAAGCTGAGATGGCCTTCAGGTTTGCCAGAGGCAATGAGATCCTATACAGCTTGTGCGTCATCCCCGTCATGAGCTGGACTGTCTGCACCATCCTTGAACGAGAGCTTTGCAGGAAGAAAAACCTCCTTGAGTGCTCCAAATCCACCACAAGGATGACCATGTCTTACCTCTCCCAGTTACTGAAGCACAGGGACAGGGACAATCCACAGATCCTCCAGAGGTTCCTTCTCCAGCTTTGCTCCTTGGCTGCTGATGGCATCTGGAAGCACAAGGTCCTCTTTGATGAGAAGGAGATCAGGGACCATGGCTTGGACCAGCCAGACCTTCTCCCTCTCTTCCTCAACGAGAAAATCTCAAAGGAGGGTGGAGACCATGGGAAGGTCTATGGCTTCAGCCATCTGCACCTCCAGGAGTTTTTTGCAGCGATGTTTTATGTTCTGGAGGACGATGAGGAAACAGTCAGTGACTTGGGAGGGCATGAGAAGGATGTAAATAAGTTACTAGAAAGCTACAGTGAGTCCAGGAAGGATTTGAATGTGACAGTGCAGTTCCTCTTTGGTTTAGTCAGCCAAAAATCCATAGAGTATGTGGACAAAACCATTGGATGCAGAATTTCACCCCAAGCCAGGGAAGAGCTGCTGAAGTGGCTTCAGGGGAGGCACGGGGGCATC